ATCAACACAAAGGAAGAGTGGTTTGTTTTGGCCTGTGCTTTCTGAGGTTTTGGTCCACTTGCCCCTACTATGTCTAGGCCTGTGGTGATTCAGAGCATCGTGACAGGGGGCGCTCTAATGTGTCTAGGCCTGAGGTGATTCAGAGCATCGTGACAGGGGGCGCTCTAATGTGTCTAGGCCTGTGGTGATTCAGAGCATCGTGACAGGGGGCGCTCTAATGTGTCTAGGCCTGTGGTAATTCAGGGCATCATGACAGGGGACGCTCTAACGTATCTAGGCCTGAGGTGATTCAGAGCATCGTGACAGGGGGCGCTCTAACGTGTCTAGGCCTGAGGTGATTCAGAGCATCGTGACAGAGAAGCATGAAGAGCAGAGTTGCTCACTTTGTGACAGAGGGAAAAGCTCGCTTCCTTGACAAAGTCTTTCTCACAAACCAATCAAGTTCTGAACCCATGGATTGATTCCTCATCCCAAAAGCCACACCTCTGGAGAAGGCTGCATTGGTGATCATATCCTCATCCCATACCAGCTGGGGTCATTTAAGTCCACCCTACGCCACCCTCTTCTCTATTTGCAGCCAGCCGATCCCACCTTTCCCAGCACAATTTCATTCTCTCTTCCGTGCCCTACTTTTTATTTTCTTTCTCCTTCTTTTTCTGTGTCCCTTTCCACCTTCTGACGTCCTACACCATTGACCTATTCATCACATGTATCGTCTGGTCACTGTCTTGCCCTGGCTAGACCATAAGCTCCCCAAGAAGGACCTGTGTCTACTGTGCTTACTGATGCATCTCAGGTACCAGGAGATGCCCAAATGCTTCATCATTCTCAACTACAATGAACATACTTGAAGCCAAAGTTTAATAACTCAGTAGAGGATTTTTATTTTCCATTAAGAAATCATTTTTTTTTTCTAAGAAAGAAACTACTTTTAAGTTTGGAGTCCCCAGAGCATGAATTTACTTAATTCACTTAATGCTCGAACCACAGAGTTGTCCAAATATAGCTCTCAGCAGAAGCAAGATCTTCTCCCCGACTGTAATTACTAGCTCACTCCTGCTATAAAAACAAAGAAAGGGGAAGAGAAGCTACAGGTAAAGAATTAATCAAGTCTCTAACTTTTCCAGAAGTCCAAGGAAATTTATGTCAACTCTCTTTGTTATTTACCTAACATTATCCTCGGGGTGTTAACTTTATTATACCCTGTGAGTTACTGCCTTCTGTGGGCACCTTGTGTCCACACAAGAGAAGAGTGACTGCCCAGGAGAAAGCCTTTCTTGACCTTTACTAGGTATTAATTCACTTGGGAGCCTTCGTGCTCTGGAATGCTATTCCCATTAAAATGACAAAAGGCTCCTATGCCAAAAATGCAGTGTTTCTCAGCCTTTTTCAGAATACACTAAGATAAAGATGAATTTTCTTATATGTATGCTGGGATAAGCAAGGGGACTGGAGCCTCAGCAAGGCTGCTCTGGTTGGCCAGGCCTGCTCGGCAGCCCTGGGCAGCCCTCAGGCTAACTGTCCTTCAGTGGAGAAGTTCTGCTGGGTCAGACGATGTGAGAGGCCATTGATTCCTATGAGCTAGCAGCTGGAACCAATCCCTTGTGACAAACACGGCTAGGAGCTTCAGATGGTTTTCATCACCAAAAGTCTTACAATTATCTTTTCCTATAGAATATATAGTTCACACTCAAGATTTCAAGAAAACAGTTACATCCTTTAAATTAAAGGGAAAGGCAGAGATATAGTTCAGTGGTGAAATGCTTGACCAGTGTATACAAGGTCCTGGCTTTGATCCTCAGCACAAAAAAAAAAAAAAGTTTCAAATAAATAAACATTTGAATAGTGTTCACTTTTTCTGTCAGATCTGTCTATTGACACCTATCTGATTTCATAAATTCTTCCTGTTTCCCATATTGCAGAGGCTAAAAAACCTGTGAAGCTTCCTCCCGCCCCCACCCCCAGTGCCACAGCCAGTAAAGTTCTGGTTGCATGATTAGGCTACATTCGACAGATAAACTCACACAGTTTTTGAAAGTGATCAGAGGGATAGGTTCTTTCTCTGGCAGCAATAGAAGGGACAGCCTCGGTCTCCTAGGTCTCTGCAATGGCTCTGTCTCTTGCCTTTCCATACACCTGGAGGCACAAAGTTCCCTAAGTCGAGTCCGTTGTTTATATGTTCCCAGCTCTGGAATACACAGACTCTCAAATTTTTGGAAGTGGCACACTAAAATGCCAGTGGTCGACTCACCTCGCCTTCCTTCAGCCCTTACTATGGAAGCTTCTAGGTTTTTGTATTGCATTCTTTGCTCAAAATACCTGGGATGTTTTGGGTACTCTTTTCTGAACTGTGACTGAAGCATGTTCTAACATAGAAGTGTCCCTTGTTGTTGCAGGACAATAGTAGATGTGCAGATTGGTTCCCATTTCACGGTGACACATATGTTGAGCAGAAGTGAATCCTCCCAACTCTTGTCCATCCTTTAAGCAGGATCTGATGACCCATGTGGACATGGCCGCTTGAGGCTTTGCAATCTCAACCTCAGCTCCTACCACTCTGACAAGACTGCAGGACTTTCGCTTCTGGTCCAACTGCATCCTGGCCAAGAACAAGGGAAAGAATAGCAAACTTATAACTGTCTGCTCTGTATTACAAAAAAAAAAAGAAAAAAAAAAAAAAAAAAAAAAAAAAAAAAAAACAGTGAATGAATTCAAAGGATCAAATTGAAAATGTCCACTATGGTCTAACTACTTAAGGGAAAAGTAAGTTGGAGCGGGGTACCCACCTGCGATCTCAGCACTAGAGGCTACTACGTCAGGAGGGCCATGAGTTCCAGGCTAGCCCTGCCTCAAAATATAATTAGTTAATAAGTAAGAAGTATGAGTGGTCATGATTTCATACATTAACACCAAAACAAACTTCAAAAAGATGAAAGATTTTAAGTAGTGAAAGAAATAACCCATTAAAAATACCGGGAGGAGGCATGGGAAGATGGCCCGAAGGCTAAGAGCACCTGCAGAGGACCAGAGTTCAGTTCCCAGCATACACACTGTGCTGCCCACAACTACCTGTTACTCCAGCTCCAGGGGGTTCGATGCCCTTATCTGGACTCTAAGGGCATCTAGATTCACATGTACGTATTTCTACGCAGATAAACTACACAGAGTTAGAAATAAAATGTATCTTTTTTTTTTTTTTTTTGGTTTTTCAAGACAGGGTTTCTCTGTGGCTTTGGAGCCTGTCCTGGAACTAGCTCTTGTAGACCAGGCTAGTCTTGAACTCACAGAGATCCGCCTGCCTCTGCCTCCCGAGTGCTGGGATTAAAGGCGTGCGCCACCACCACCCGGCTAAAACGTATCTTTTAAAAACACTTGAAGATAAGCTCAGTGACTATTGCTTAAATCCATGTTTGAGAAAGTGTTTTCTAGGTGTGATACTGAAGTCAAAACTCATTTTTTAAACATGAGTTCTCCAAAATATCTTTTCAATGGAGAAATTCTAATCCTAAAATTAGAAACACTTAGACTTAACAATTATTTACATTGGACTATCATCACCCTGCTTCTCTCTATATTTTCTATTACGCCCTTCCAAATTAGATTTGAAACATTAAAATATTTCACACCTAGATGCTTCAGTATAGATCTCCAGGAAACTGGATTGTTCTCTTACAGCAAAACCATTATATTTTCAACACACATTCCCAAACTGATAACTCCATAGCATTACATGACAGTTGGTGCATTTTCAAATTTCCTCATTGAGACAAATTTAAGTATCTGTTCTAGTTTCATTTCCGATGCTATGGCAAAGCGTCCTGGCCAGAAGCAATAGAACAGGGGGAGGTTTGTTTGAGTGTGTAGTTCCTTGTTGTGGCCCATCATTGCAGGGACATCACAAAGGCAGGCTCTTGAGGAAGTTGGTGACGCTACCTTCACAGTCGAGAGCACAGAGAAAGGAACACACCCATGCTGCCTGCTGCCTGCTGCCTGCTGTGGTGCTCAGCTAGCTCTCTGTTCTCTTGTGTAGTTCAGGGCCCTGCCTGTGGAACAGTGCTACCTTCATTTAAGGGGAGTCTTCCTACCTAATTACTAAGCAAGACAATGTCCCCACACAGAGAGAGAGACACATGTTCACAGTCCAGCCTGATCCAGACAGTTCCTCAGCTGAGACCTCTCATTTCGGGAGATTCTAGGTCGTGATGGGTCAGCAAGTAGACTCAAGCCAGCAGGCACAGTGTATTTACTTGGACTGGGCCAAGTATTATGTTTAGGTGTTAGTTCTCTTGCTGTCTTAGGGTTACTATTGCTGTGATGAAACCCATGACCAAAAGCAACTCGTGAAGAAAGGGTTTATTTCATTCGCAGTCTAAATAACAATTCTCATCAAAAGCAGTGAGGGCAGGGACTGAAGCAGGGCAGGGGCTGATGCAGAAGCCATGGAGGGATACTACTAACTGGCTTCCTCATCATGGCTTGCTCAGCCTACTTTCTTATAGAACCCAGGACCAATATAGCCCAGGGATGACACCACCCACAATGGGTTTGGCTATCCCCTATCAATCACTGATTAAGAAAATGCCTTCCAGCTGGATCTTATGGAAGCATTTTTCTCAGTTGAAGTTCCGTCCTTTCAGATAACTCTAGCTTGTATCAAGTTGACATAAAACTAGCCAGGTCACTTAGACTTCTAAATATCTAGAACACACTCCAATCTAGAACACACTGCTATCTTTTATCTTCCATGACATTGACTATTCTAAGCATGGAACAGTCAGTAGTTCTCAACCTGTGGCTCGAGACTCCTTTTGAGTCTCATATCAAATATTTATATTACAATTCATAACATTAGCAAAATTACAATTATGAAGAAGCAATGTGGTTGGGATCATGACAACATGAGGAACTGTATTTAAGTGTCTCAGCACTAGGAAGGCTGAGAACAACTGTTTTAGAAAACGCTACATGCTGGACTGGTGTTGAAATAAGAGCAGCGGCGGGGCTGCGTCCCCAACACCCCGGCCGCTTGGCTAGCTTATGCCCGAAATAACAACACACAAACTGTATTCATTTAAAGAACTGCTTGACCCATGAACTCTAGCCCTTACAGGCTAATTCTAGCACCTGGTCTAGCCCATTTCTAATGATGTTTGTAAGCACCCCAAGGTGCGCTTACCGGAAAGATTCTAGCCTAAGTCCATCGTGGGTTGCAGCTGCCTGGGAGAGCTGAGCATGGGGTCTCTGCTCCAGCAGAGCTGTCGGGTCTCTCTGGGAGCAGAGCAGAGTCTGACCTCACTTCCTCTTCCGCCCAGAATTCTATTCTGTTTACTCCTCCCATCTATGTTCCAGCCATGAGGCCAAGCAGCTGGTTTATTATAACTTAACCAATGAAATCAACAGATTGATATATGACACTCCCACATCAGACTGGTTGTTCCTTAATTCTGTTATTTTATAGGGTCTAATATTTCTAGATAATTCTTTTAAAAATTAAAAGCTTGAGGCAGGCATCCAAAGGAATCCAATGGGGCATTGTATGAGGCCAGAAGTATTATCCATCGGTCCTAGCACATCAGCCATTGGCACATGATCACTTGATACTTGAAATGGAGTCTAAGCAACCAAGGAACTGAATTTATCTTCATTTTAGTTATTTTGATTCTTAATCTTAAGTAACTACAAGCAACTAGTGTTAATTAAATCACTTTTATAATGTAAAGGGGAGTATAAAATAGCAAAAGAAGTGTCAAATTATCCCTATTTAGAGAGAGCGTGGTCCTATACTTAAAAGTCCCTAAAGATTTCCTCAAATAACTCTTCTATTTGTAAACCATTTTCAGCAAAGCATCAGGATATAGAACTTAAGGTGTAAAATTCAGTAGCTTTTCTATTAATGTTAGAAACTTGCCAAGAATGAAATTGGGAAAATATCCCACTCATAGTAGCTTCACAGACAGTAATGAAATGACCGATAAACCTAACCGAGAAATAGAGAGACTTCTACAGTTAGAACTTTAAGACGCCGAGAAGAGAAAGCAAAGACTATTAAACAATGGGAAGCCCGTCCATGCTCACACACTGGAAGGAGAGAGCGAGGACAGCTATCAGATGCAAAGTAATCTGCAGATTCAATGTAATCGCCAGCAAAACTGCAGGGACGTCCTTCACAGACCTAGAAAAAGATTCCTAAAGTTTGTATGAAAACATGGAAGTCACCAAATACCCAAAGCAATTGTAAGGGGAAAACTATGTTGGAGGCATCGCAATACCTGACTTTAAACTACTACAGAGCCAGGGTGATACTCTAGGTACTATGTGTGATAATGTTGCAGACACGTTGATTAAATAGTTGATTAAAAGAAGCAGAATGATTATGGATTTTATTCCACATGCAAAAGCTGGACATGGGGGGGCAGTGGTCATGAAACTAGAGTGGGGACAGAGAAAAGGGGAAAGAACAGATCATGAGCTAAGAGGATGAAGAGGAGAAGCAAATAAAATGCATGTGACACGGAAGCAGAAAGGGAGCTATGGAGCGGGCAGCAAGAGAGGATCATGGGAAGGGGAGAGAGGTGGGAAAGAAGACAAATACAAGCAAAGTTTGTATGAAAATGTCCAAATGAAACCCATTGCTTCGAATGCTAACTTAAAGAAAACTAATAAAAAGTTAATAGAATAGAAAGTACCTGCATTCTGCTATTCTGCCTGTGAATAAATGCTTGATAAATGTTAGTTCTTTTCCAATCCAAATATGCTTTTAAGAAAATGTGCTAGAAAAATATATTACCATATAAATGCAAATTAAGATGCATAGTTGTCCTTGCTGCATGATTAAGACCTATTCGGCTGCAGAGATGATCTTCTGTCTGCTCAGGAGTCCCCACGGTCAGCACCAATGACTGTAAATATCTGGATTCATGATGCACATGAGAAATATCTCATAAATGGTGGCAGTGATCCTGCAGGCTTTATTTATTTTTTAACATATACACATAAGTCTTAGGGGTTAGAATTTACTTTTTTTGCAACATACATATCTGTATATTAATTGTTTTCTTTAAACTGCCTCAGGGTCTGTTGTTCAGTTACCTTGGGTCAATCTAATACAGTGAGATTCAGTACTAGAGTTTCCAGTCCAGTGTTGAAGAAGCATTCTCATCTCCAGTACAACTGAGGCTGGGAAGATTAAATTTGAAGCCTCTGCAGTCCTGAGCCTGAGCCCGATGGTGACCACAGCTTAACACATCAGAGGAAAGTCGAACCTGGGCACAGAAAGAGTTCTGATTCATCCCCTAGATCCAACCATGTCATCTTCCCCACCTTGTGCCATAAGATAACCAGTAATGCTAACTATCATGATCATATGTGAGCTTTCCAGTTATTAGTTTGGGGGATGGTGGAGGAGGACACCCTGGGTCTTAATGTACCCTAGATGTAGTTTTCCTGTCTACCAGTGGCGACACTTGTCATGAGGATAGAGTGAGACAGTGCGTTCTACATGTTGGAGAACCCCTGCATGTGCTAGGTCCTGTTTTGAACTTCCCTTGTGAGCCATATTGAATGCACACCCTTGAGTTTTCACACTCCTCTCCCTTTTTGTTGCTCATTAACAAGTTTTATTTATACCCATATGTAATGTGAGATCAGGGGGAACATGGAACATACACTTTAAAATAGAAGAGACTGTTTCATGCTGACAGGGTGGCCCCCACCTTGTGTGATAAGAGAACAGTCTGGGGGATGATAGCAGGAGACTTTGGCTCACGGAGGCCCCATATGGCGCTGTGAATTCACCTTGCTCCTTGCTCTCTTTGTCACTTCTGTCTTCAGTGCATGGAGGTCATTAATGTGTAGCCTTTGGTCACGTGGTGTCATTCCTTTGGACTTTGCAAGTGTAGACAGAGCACAGACTCTCCTTTACTGATACTAAAGACTCACCTACATTTTAGGATCACACTGGATTTAAGCTAAGTAGCTTAAATATGAAGACGGAATATAATTAGCTAATCATTTACAGGATTACTTAGGCTAAAATTCGACACAGTAAAATAAAGTATGTTTCTGCCCATCTAAATCCCTGCATTAATAAAGGTGGTCAGGTTATACAACGCAAAATGCATTTCCAAGAAAGGATCCTTGGTGGAAAGGAACTAGAAATATGTTTAAGCTACATTTAGAATTCAGGAAAAGCAATCTCACAGCTTACTTTCCCTCATTTTTTTTCTTCAACTAAGCTTTTAAGCTGAATAAATTAAAGTCTCTAAGATGTTTAAACAGTTCAGTCTATATTAGTCTGGCATGGTTCATTATAAAATACAGTTATAAAATCATTGCCAAATCACACCTAATACCTGCTCAGCCATTCTAGAAATTTCCAGTCAAGGATGAATGTCCTGCCCACCTATTAATTTCAGCTCCTTATCTATAATTATTCATTTTCCTCTCCCAAAGTTTCATCTCGTCTCTGATGCATTGCTCCACACTCAAGAAACCACCTTTCCTGTATCAGGCAAATGGCTGCTTTCAACTGTCTGTTGACCCTGTCTGCAGTTATCTCCTGTGCCTGTAAGGGTTTCTTTTATTCTTTTTAAAAGTTTCTCATAATGTTTCAAATTGCTACAAAATTAATAAAAAGCAAAGAAGTCTGCCTTGAGACATGTGAGACTTCTTTGTTTTTTAAATCCGCAGGAGGAAGAGCTGGGAGGCAATGCTGGGGTTTGAACCCAGCGCCCTGAACATGCTAAGGACACATTATAACACAGGGCCACACAGTCAGCTCACCAGTAAGAATTTGTTGCTGTTGTTGTTGTCGTTGTCATCGTCATTGTGTCTTAGCATGGCTCTTATTGTTACTTTCAGCAAGCACTGGAAGAGTTTATACACCTCTATGTCCATCTCATCTCTCATCTCCACTCATGTGCAGCAGGATAATACTTCAAAGCATTAACTGGTGCAAATTTCCCCTCATCTCTACTAAGGCTCTCCCTTTCAGTTCAGGGAGTTTCACTTAAAGACCTGATTTTAGGAGTGCTAGAAAACAGAGGTGTGTCCATCAGGAACATCTGGAGGAAACAGCGCCTTTCCACAGGTGTGTCCCTCAGGAACATCCGCAGAGATTCAGCACCTACCCAGAGCTGTGTCCCTCAGGAACATCTGCAGAGATACAGAACCTTCCCTCAGAGTCAGTTTTACTGGACTGGGATGGGAGGGGCAGAGGTGAAAGAAATGGAATAAAGTAAGTTGGTCTCGCCTTTCTAATCCAAACAAGTGTTGGGAGTGAGAAAATGATCTTTGATTGGTTTCGTATCTTCGAATAAGCAGAAACTTTTCTCTGGACAGCTTGTTGTCTAGACATGAGAAGGAGGCAATTCCCATGGCAGTCTCATGTCTACATCAGTCATACACTGATGCTGTGTGCTGGCTTTTACTCTTTGACAATCTCTGTTGAATCACAGGAGCTGGAATTCTGGACCTCTACTTCCCGGCCTCCTTTATTTGACACGTTTCAGTTTAAAACTTTCTCAGAAATAAAGAGGAACATAAGAATAATTGCCCAGCTATCTACAAAAGAATGAAGATTGGACCCCCTGCCTCCTACCACATACAAATGGATCTGAAGTAACTCTTTGTGATCCCAGATTTGTCACTAGATTCATAGATAGGACTCCCAAACCTTAAGAAAAACAAATTTGAGAAAAGATGTACTTCATCAAAATTATAAACTGAGATGGCTCAGTGACTGCTCTTCCAGAACTCCTGGGTTCAAATCCCAGCACCCACATGACAGCTCACACCTGTCTGTAACTCTGGTTCCAGGGGATCTGACACGCTCACACAGACATATGTGCAGGCAAAACACCAATGATCATAAAATTTTAAGAAATTAAAAACTGTTGTGCATTGCCAATGTACATCATTAAGAAGTGAAAGTTAGCTAGGTGTGGCACTCCTATAATCCCAACACTCACGAGCTGAGGCATAAGAGTCATAAGTTCAAAGCTAGCCTAGGCACAATAGTAAAAATCTGCCTTCAGAGATAAAAAAAGAATAAGAATACAAGCTCACATATCAGAAAGACACATTTTTATACCATATAATCTGATAAGATACATGTTTTTAGACTACACAGAGGAACTCTTACAATAAGTGATATTCTAAAAAGTAGGCTGTACAATTAAGAGGTTAGCAAAACATCTTCAGAAGTATTTTTGCAAAGATATACAAAGAGCCAATAAATACAAGAAAAACTCTCAGCAACATTAGCCATCAGGTAAAGCAAATCGACATCACACTGGAATACCACTTAAAACCCATGGAGACACTGTAAAGCTAAGAACAGCTGAAATACTCTCCAATTGGCCAACAGACACAAGCTTCAGTACGATCTGTAATCCACAAGAAAAAGAAGCAGCATATCTATCCATGCC